GGGAGCGCCGCGCCGCCGGGAGCCCCGCTCCGGAAGTGAAGTGGCCAGACCACCGGCTAATGGATGCGGAGCGGAGGGCCCGCCGACCGCTCCCGGCTCCACCGTAAGTATGGAGCAGGGCACGCGGCGGCGAAGACCTGAGGGCGCAGCCCCTGGCTCCCGCGCCCCTCTTCCCCGCCTGCCCGGCCCAGGCGCCTCTCCCCACCACATTGCGGAGGTGGGCCAAGGGCTGTGGCCCACCGTGGGGAGGGTTTCATCACCCAGGATGTGAGCTGATGGATGGGGAAAGAGGGACAAACTGACAGGCGTCAGGATACCCGGGGGGAGGGGAAGGGGCGGCACTGAGGATGGGGAAGGCATGGCGCAGGCGGCGCAGAAAGGTAGGGGCCACACGAGGCGCTGGACACCAAAGCTTTAGTTTACACACGGGCCTTGGTGGGCTGCTGGGAGCAGAGATTGAAACGAGAAGGTTCTCACTTTGTGCATCCACGGTGGTGGGGGAGGCACAGCATGGCGAGGAGAAATGCAGAGGGGCGTAGCAAACGGTGGGGAGCGGATAGAGAGAGACATAGGTCTACGGTCCGTGAGAGTGTAGCAGAGTCCAGTCCAGCACGGCAACGTATGTATTGCCCGAGGCGCCATGCACCAGTAACTGCGCCACTGCGCCAAGTAGAGCACAGGAGAAGGTCTTCATTTGGTATCTCCCGCCCCCGCCCAAAGTAGGGGAAAGCCGCAGATTAAAGCCCACTCCCCAAATCTCCAGTCCTTCTCCGGCGCCCCGGGCGCCCCGCCTCGTCCCCACCCCGCCCTGCTGCGCACTGCGCCAGAGCCGCGGGGTTTCCCAGGTGGCCAGACGCCGCGTGCCTGAGGCGTTAAGTGCGTGCGCGTCCAGTGGCGGGTAGGAGATGGGGTGCTGGCTGTGATTGAGTGTCTTGGATTGTGTGAGGCCAACCTGGGGAAAGGTGTGTGGGGACTTGGTGTGTATGTACGGATAGACTAGCCACAGCCACAGGGCATCCAGGGGGCATTTTGATTTGTGCCAGTAACACGGTCTCTGAGGGTCCTTCACGGCTTATTCCCGTCCCCACGTCCTTGCCGTGTATCAGTCTCTACCTCTGGTCGATTACAGCCCCGCCCCTCTTTCCACAGTGTCAAAATCCTGCAAAAATGATGCCCATCCTTTGGCGGCTCGAGAGAGAGGTCTGGGCATGCTCAGTAACCAGGGTGGGTTTGGGCTAAGAGGCTGTTTACCGCAGGACCGTAGCGAGGGGCAGTGTGACCAAGTATTCGGTCCCGTTGTCAGCCCTTGTCCCTAGAAGCATTAAATGCGGATACCCACCCCCTAGTTGTGAGGGATAGTTTGGTGAATGGAGTTAAATTTAGAGGACCACCACTCACAGTTTGGTGAGGAGCCCACCATGCTAGGTGGGCAGGAGTCCCCGGATGAGAAGGGGAGAAGGAGGAAGGAGAGGAATGTGCGTGTGGAGGGGCTGAGAGAACCAGGGGCAGGCTTTCGGACTTAGCACCAGATGTGCTTAGCATTTGAATAAAGTGCTTCTACGTAAATTACATCATTTCCTCCTCAAAGCAGCCCAGTGAGAAGAGTGCTTTCCTTCCAGGGCAGGAAACTGAGATTTAGAGCTATTGAGGAGCTTTGCCCAAGGTCACTATCTAGTTAAATGACGCAACAATTCCAGTGAAGTCTTCCACCTGAAAGTCTGGTTTCTTTTCCAACTTATCCTATCTTTATGTGAGAAAATACAAGATTTTCACATTTTTTCCATATCCAAATATTTCCATACGGGTCATCCCGTATCTAAGAAGAGGAAGGTGAGGTACGGAAGAGTCATCGAGCTCAGATCCCTGGGGCTGCTGGGGAGGGCGTGACCCACCATTTTGCCCTCTGGCCCTCTGCCGCCTTCAGCACCTTCCGACTCGGGAAATGTGCCTGCAGCAGGAGCAGCTGCCGCCATAACTGCAGGTTGGCATCTGTGGCATATGGACCCCATTAGGACTGATGGAGATTTTCAGGCCTGGGGAAGAACGGTGGTGGTTCCTAACACACACTCCACACCAGTAACTGGGACACGTTAGGAGCTCTTCCCTTTTCACAATACCCAGTCTCCACCCCCTCGCCACAGATGTGCTTCCTGTCTTTTCCTTTTTCCTCAAATGACCCGTTAAGTTCAAATGCTATGAAGAAAGTGTCGTGTTAATAACTTACCATTCATAGCAAAAGAAACATCTTAATTTTGCTTTTGCAAAGCCTGACCAGACATAGCAAAAGAGAATTAATTCATAATTCTGAGTTTATTTGGCCCTGAGGTTTTTTAAATTGTTATACTTCTATTAGGTTGTAATACCTATATTATTATGTCATATTAAAGTATATTTTATAAATTATATTATTATGCCTATGTTAAATTGTTTTTAAATATTTGAATGATTTCTAAAAGAAATGAAGCAACTCAATTTAGTAGATTTAATTAAATTTTGAAGGATTGCCATATTTTTGAATAAGTGCATTAACAGTCTTCATCACTGGATATTATCAAGCCATAAAAATACACTATTATTTATGTATAACAGGGCAACTTGGCTTGGCTGGAGCTAAGATCCAGACACGCTGTTGTGTGGACTTGGGTGACATCTTCCTGTGCTAGAAGCTGAATAAGCTCCTTGACTCTCATGGAACATTCTGGAACGCATAAACAGGTATCTCACCACATTTCCTGATTTCATTATTCATGTGGGAAAAATCTTGAGTCCTGTCCACAACTGGGGCTCAGATATTAATCAGCACTTCTGATGAGCGTGCGGTGGGGAAGCTAGGTTGCAGGAGGGTCCCCAAAAGAAAAAAAAAATGTCACTGTAGGCAAAGAAGAGATCTGACAGAGTGGGATAGATACAAGTACAATGTCTCCCCCGGTCTCCCTCCACCTCCATCCCTAACTGGAGTACAGATGCTCCCTGGGAAGGAGAGGGCTGGTAAAACTGACCGTTCTCTCATTAGGAGTCCAAGCCACTCTGCAGTGAGACGTCTCTCCAGGACTCCTGGGGGCCAGAGGAGGTATTTCCCTGTTGACTAGAGAGGTGAAGCAGCAGAGACGGGGAAAGTGGTGAAAACAGCTCTCGAAGGTGCAGCGGACGGTCAGCAGGGGGTCAGCACCACCACGTGGCTGCTAGCATCGGCGAGAGAAACAGCAGCCACCAGACTCCAGAGCCACTGAGACACTGCCACCCACCGCAGGTCTAGAGACAACGGGAGGTGCTGAGCTCTTGCCACTGGGCAGTGAGGGTTATTGGTCCAGAAGACTGAGGCTGCTCTTGGAGTGACCTGACCCAGGTTCCATTCCCTGGTGGGTTATAAGTTTGGAAGCTCCTCCAGGATAGTCTCAGTCCTGAGGCAGTGCCCATCTGCACCACAAACTAATTGGTACCCCTAGGGTCAGAGCGAGTAAATATTCGGGACGATGGCACTGGCACTGCTGGAGGACTGGTGCAGGATAATGAGTGTGGATGATCAGAAATCGCTGATGGTTATGGGGATACCAGTGGACTGTAATGAGGCTGAGATTCAGGAGGTTCTCCAGGAGACTTTGAAGTCTCTGGGCAGGTATAGACTGCTTGGCAAAATATTCAGGAAGCAGGAGAATGCCAATGCTGTGCTATTAGAGCTCATGGAGGATATTGATGTCTCAGTGGTCCCCAGCGAGGTTCAGGGAAGGGGGGGCATCTGGAAAGTGATCTTTAAGACCCCCAACCAGGACACTGAATTTCTTGAAAGACTGAACCTCTTTCTAGAAAAAGAGAGACAAACAGTCTCTGGTATGTTCCGGGCCCTTGGCCATGAGGGAGTGTCTCCAGCCACAGTTCCCTGCATATCACCGGAGTTATTGGCCCATTTGTTGGGACAGGCAATAGCACATGCCCCTCAGCATCTGCTCCCCATGAGATACCGGAAACTGAGGGTGTTCTCAGGGAGCGCTGTGCCCACCCCGGAGGAAGAGCCCTTTGAAATCTGGTTGGAACAGGCCACTGAGATAGTCAAAGAGTGGCCAGTAGCAGAGGCAGAAAAGAAAAGGTGGTTGATGGAAAGCCTGCGTGGCCCTGCCCTGGACCTCATGCATATAGTGCAGGCAGACAATCCGTCCATCAGTGTGGAGGAGTGTTTGGAGGCATTTAAGCAAGTGTTCGGAAGCCTAGAGAGCCGCAGGACCTCTCAGGTGAAATATCTGAAGACCTATCAGGAGGAAGGCGAGAAAGTCTCAGCCTATGTGTTACGGTTAGAAACCCTGCTCCGGAGAGCCGTGGAGAAGCGGGCCATCCCTAGGAATATCGCAGATCAGGTCCGCCTGGAGCAGGTCATGGCTGGGGCGAGCCTTAGTGAAATCCTTTGGTGCAGGCTCAGGGAGCTGAAAGACCAGAGGCAGCCTCCCAGCTTCCTTGAGTTAATGAAGGTAATCCGGGAAGAAGAGGAGGAAGAGGCCTCTTTCGAAAATGAGAATATTGAAGAGCCAGATGAAGGGGACGGCTATGGCCACTGGGACAATGAGGCAGATGACTAAAAACCAACTCAGAGGGAGACCCACAGCCTGTGGGCCTGGGGCCATTCCCTGTACCAGGCTAAGACCTTGTCAGTATTTTTTTCTTTAATGTACGCAATTGAAATCAAGGCATTCAAGCCAGGTCTTGATTCTTCTTTCTAAAAAAATAAAAATCTGAGAGTTTGTTGGACCCTACATAGATTATTAATAAACAAAAGATTAAATTCCAAATATTAGACAGTAAGCCTGAAGGAATCTGAAGCACTTCAGGTTTCCTTTAAATACCCCCAAATAGACCCAAGTTTACCCACACCATGCTAAGATGGTAAGAAAGAAATGATGTGAGAAAAAAAGATCTTCTATAATCTATTTAAAAATCTAAGCTCTTTGACTTCTTGGGTGTTTTCCGTTCTCAAATCGGCAGATTCCCTCTGAGTTCCCAGCAGCGTGAGGTGCTGTGCAAGGAGGTCACAGTCACAAACCGAGCATGGGCCATGCTCTCGGAGCTTACGGTCTATTGAGGACATGGCCTCGACATGTGAAAAGCTAGATATGTAACCTCGTGTAAATAAATTCATGATGCCAATAGAAGCCAATGAAAGTGTTGTTGCCAATGAGTACAACCATCTCCGCCTTTAGGTCTCTTTCTTTCCTGACTTGGAAAGCACTCCTCCTGCTTCTCCGCTAGGTGTCAGATAGACAGTTCCAGGCACTGTGTTAGGCCCTGAAGACTCAGGTGACTCAGCCTAATCCTTGCTTTCAAGAGGTCCACAGTGAGAGAGGCAGCCTCCGAGAAAGGGAGACGTTAGAAGAGATCATGCTGGAGAGTGGGGACATGCGGGCCGTGTTTGGATTTAATGAGCAGGCCGGTCTGGTTAGAGGGGAAGATGTTGAGTGGCGACAAAGGGCAAAGAGGAGAGGAAGGGAACTCACATTTACTGAGGGCCTGCTATGTGCCAGGTGCTTTACACATATCCCATGTGATGTGTCCAGCAGCCCCAGTATGAGGTGATTTGCTCTTTTTGAAAGAGAAAGAAACTGAAGCTCAGATGGGTTAAGTGGCCTCCTCAGCATCAAAGTTCTGACAAGCGGCAGAGCCGAGAGAGAAGTCTGGAACTCTCTGATTTTTGTTAATTTTCTCTTCACTGTGACTGTGGTTTTCTACAGTGATTTTTCACCAGTTCCATCTTTAAAACATGTTTTAAACTCTTTAAATCTCTAATAAATAACAGGTAGATTCAAGTGTGTTGATATTCAAATTTTAACACATCAGCATTCACCAGCAGGCTCACTTTCATTTCCAGATTGACTCATTTTGTGCAGACGTGTGAGAAAATGTTCCCTTGCGATATCTGAGTGCATATCAGAACTTCTTTTAATCATTCATAGAATAAGGAAGAGATAGCACCTCATAGATGTTTAAATCAGACCCATGCGTATCCTGTGATGTGAAGTGTGCTGGCAGAGCATAAATGAGCACCATTCAGTTACATGCTAGGCCAGGCTCCCACACGGTGACGTAGAGCATCATGGGAGCTTTGTGTATCCAGTAAACAAGTTGCTTAACTTCTCTAAACATCAGCTTCTTCGTTAGAAAAAGGGGAAAATAATAGAATAGGGTTGTTGTTAGGATCAAATGCCATAGTGCCTTTTAAGCACTTAGCATGAAGTCTGGAACATAGAAAGCCCTCAAACCTTGAGACTCATTATGATTTTCATAATGCTTATTGTCTGCTCACTGCATGCTCTCTTATTGGTCTAACAGTTGTGCAATAGCAAGTAAATATGTAACCTGTCAGTCAAGTTGTGGCAACATCACATTAGAAACCATTTTAGCTCTTATGGAAGTTTGAGTGCTTGTGTCTGTTATCTTTGTGATAAGAATCCCAGTAGTTGTTGACTGTTGTTAGGGATTTGACTTTGAAACAATAAATTATTCTTTCTGATCGTGGATAATTTTAACTGAAGAATATCCTGAGAGTGTAAGAAAAGTATTTTTTTTAAAAAGGTACCATTTGTAATCATTTATCTAAGTTATATTTTTCAGTACTGTTCAACCAAAGTGATACAATTGTCATCCAATATACCCTGATTTCATGTGTTTTTGTATTCATGAAAATGGCCTCATTGTTGTCGTTTGTTGACAGTAGACAAATTAAAATGTTATAAATGTGATGCTATAAAATAAATATATGCTAATAAATTTCTGAGTTTTTTCTGTTTCATGTATTGTGGTTCTGTATAAAGTATTGCTTGAAGAACAACTTTCATTACTAAAAAAATTTTGAGAGCTAAGGTTAGAAAATCAAGCTAAAGCCAAAAGGTCTTGAACTCTTCTAGAGAAAACCTGAGAGCAAATGCTGGAAGAGAATCCTGAGTCTTTGTCTCTGGGGAGGAGAGGGAGCTCAGTCCACCCATCATTGGTTTCCCTTTTAAAATATAAGAAATGACAGATGGAGGCCCGAACCCTCAGAGACCTCCAACTCATTTTCTTAGGCAAGGAACTGTACAGACAATTTCACCAGCCTCTATTCTGCCAAGGGTGAAATGACCAAAAGGTGAAATATTGCATTTTTTGGATAAAGTCATTTCTTACTATATTGATGTGTAGGGGAAAAAAATTCCTCTTGCCTTTGGCCCTCTTGAAATTACTTCTCTTTTCTACAGTGCAATGGGGGAGCATTCCTTATTGGGCTGTACACTGTGCAGGTCGACCCATTACAAGATGAATGTCCTGAGGGATGCCCGACACCCCCTCCCAATTACTTGAGCAAAAACCTCCCAGGAGCTTGGTCTCACCTTGTACTTAATATGTCTCCAGTCCTGACCCTCAGAGACTGAGGCCTCCAAGATTACATAGCCCACTGCTGAAGATAACTTTTCACCAGGAGCCATCAGTCTCTTCAGGCCTTAGGTGTCACCTGTCATCTCCTCCTGTTCCAGCCAGTCCTGCCAAGCCTCTCTTCCTGTCGTCTTCACTCTGCTACCTAAATGCAGGACTTTCTGATAGTCAGTTCTCATCTTTACTCTCATGTTCATGCTACACTGTGCTTCCTCCCCAGTGCTGGTCTTTAAGACCCTCCAACATGCCTACTGGATAGTCCATGATGTCTTGAACAAACTAGCCTGTATCATCAGAGTCCTTCAGAATACCCTGTCACCGTGTTCCTTAACTGAGCTCTGATCCTCCTGGTCGTCTGTTGAGTGGAAGCTGCGCAGTCTCCCCGACCTCAGGGGAGATTGGAGAGTGGTGGTAGCACTTCTTTTGGCTCACCATCATCACTTCCCCACTGGCAAACACATTTGCTCCTTCCTGGAAGGTGCTTACCCACTCTGCCCCACTTCCCACTGTGGATTGGTCCTGACAAGCCTGGACAGAGCATGGGCAAAGAAGCTAACGTGGAGAGGGGCCCATTTAGGACTGAGTCTGACTGGGTGTTAGCTAAAGCAACAAAAAGTAGGTAGAAAAAGATAATGAATATAAATCACATCCAAGCCATCCTATAGGTCAAGACTGGCAAATCAAAGAGGGTTGGAAGCTAGAGTTTTGAAGGAGTGGAGCCTGAAATGAAACACAGAAGTGAAGTAGAGGATCTGAACAAAACACACTCTTTGGATGGTCTAAAGGCCCAGGATCAGGGCAGACGTCTCTCCCACCCTCTTTGTTTCAGAGTGGGCCAGGAACTCCAGGGAAGACTTATACTCATTGAGTACCTCTCTTGGAGTGGAAGATGGTGTCCATAGATGGGCTTCGCAGAAGCTAGCCTTCCCACTGTAGCAGGCCCTGGAGTTGTCCCTGGTCCAGACTGCATTACATAACTCTGCCATGCCCAAGTGGTCCTTGACATCCCAAAATGGACATTTTCTTAAAAACTAGAGTAACTCCAGAAGTATATGCCAGAATCAACTCTACCATTAAAAACAAAAAAAGGTGTAGGATTTCCGTCTCTTTTTCAGGACCCCCCAGCTGGAGCTGCCCATTAATTGTCTGGGCTGTTTAAGCAGCAGCTGAGACTTTTTCCCAGTCTGCTCTACCCCCACCCACCCTTGAAGGGAAAAGTTACCAAAGGGAGGAGTTACCCAGACTGTGCAGTGGTGCTGAGGCCGGGAGCCACTGCAGGAAGTCCCCAGGGAAAGCAGGGGAAGCTCACCCCCCTCGCAGCCTGCCGCAGCCCTACCCCTGCTCTGCGTGGCCTAAAGGCAGTCCACTCAAGGCCTTTCATGGCTTCTGGACACAAGGGCTTTGCCAGCAAACTCGATTACTAACATAAAACTTTCTTGTAATAAGAAATTGTCACAAAAGTAAACTTTATTTTTATCCAGCTTTATTGAGGTATAATTGACAGATAAGAATTGTATATATTTAAGGAGTACAAAGCGATGTTTTGATGTACATTTACATTGTGAAATGATCTCCACAATCAAGCGAATTAACACATCCATACTTCACATAGTTACCATTGTGTGTGTGTGTGGTGAGAACACTTAAGATCTATCCTCTTAGCAAATTTCAAGTACGCAATACAGTGTTATTAACCGTGGTCACCAGGCTGTACGTTAGATCTCCAGAGCTTATTCCTCCTGCATAAGTGAAAGTTTGTACCCTTTGACCAATATGTTCCTGTTTCTCCCACCTCCCAGCCCCAACCACCTTTCTACTCTGCTTTTATGAGTTCATCTTTTTGAGAGTCCACATAATACAGTATTTTTCTTTCTGTATCTGACTTGTTTCACTTAGCATAATATTCTCCAGGCTCGTCCACGTTGTCACAAATGGCAGGATTTCCTTCTACAAAAGTAAACTTTATATTGTGAGTGAACATAAGCAAGACAGTGGAAACCAGGTTGGTGAAGAAGGGACGCTGAGTTCGGCTGACTAGCCGTCACATTGCACTCCCTGGTAACACCCCATACAAGGGGGTCAGCCTCTGATGATGCTCGTTGAGCCTGGGGACTCTGCTATTCCACGTAGTGGCTAGTGGACATTTTAAAGGTTCTAAATAGAAAGCGTCTAGATAAGTCTAAGGCAACTGTAAATGTCTGCGGCTAGGTGTGCTGCCATCTTGGGAAAAACATCTACCAATCCAGAATTGCAAGAGCCGTTTCCAATTTCAGGGCGATTTACGGGTCTAAAACTAAGGTAGTAATCCTTTGGACTCCCACGCCCTGTGACTGGCCTGGGTTTATGGCCTACAAATGGCAATACAGGGAGAGGACCCAGGCTCTGGAGGTCCCACAGGCCATATTCAAGGCCTTGGATGGGCAACTTGGCACAGCCATGGAATCCCTAGGTCATATTTCCTCACCGGGACCACTAGGTTTT